GATAACCTGTTCAGCATCATAGCAACACACAAGCCTCCACTGACAGATGGGTGGTGGCTGTGCATGAGGTGCATTGGCCCAGAACTGAACCCAGATCTTCGCCTGAAAGGTGAGAAGTCTACCACCGAGCAACCACTGCCCCCATTAAACAGAGGCCCAGGCCTGATTGTGTGTGCGGCCTCTGTCTTTTCTTTGTATATGTGCTAATCATTCTATCAGTGATTTCCTTAAGGTGCTTTCAAAACCAAAATAAAAAATCTATTAAAATGGAAATACGGTGACTCTTCCTCCTTCATAGTGGGAGTTTTCACTGAGATGCTCAATTTTAATTCTTTTATTTTCCCTCCTGTACAGGTGTGGTTCAGTGAGAAGATGTTTGAACCGTCGTTCTGTTTTTATACTGGATATAAAATCCCCTTGTGCAAAACCTTGGACCAGTATTTTGAATACATCCAGTCCCTGCCATCCCTAGATAACCCCGAAGTCTTTGGGCTTCACCCCAATGCTGATATCACGTAAGTTCTCGGCATTTTTTAATTTGAAGGGGCCATTTGTAACTCAACCCGGCAAGGATTGAGCATTTCATTTTCTCTCTTAATCTTTCTCCTTTCCCTTCTTTTTATTTTGCTGAGAGAAATAGTGTCACTTCCTGTCTCCCAATTACAACTTTGTCATATTTTGGCCTGCTCTGCCCTCACTAAATCCTGGTGCTCTGGAATTTATGACAGCGTTAAAGCTCTAATTTATGCATTGATTATTTCTCCTCCGGCGTGCGATAAAGCTGATTTGTGTAACTGGTACTGATGCTCTCCACTGATAGGACAGTAGTCTCCTAGCTTGCTTGCCTCTTTCCTCAAAAATCCATTAAAAATAATGGTCATAAATAGGATCTGAAAGGGCCAGGAGGGTACAGATAGGAAGAAGAAGAATTGTATTTCTGCTCTGTCCTCTCTTCTATGATCCTTACTTGCTTCCTTGCATCCTCTGCCATTAACTGCCTGTGATGTGCACAATGCAGCAAGCACGTGACACAGAGCCCAGGGAGGACGGACTGGAGGGTCTCTTGGCTCAGCCTCAGGCCCTGCTTCAGTCACCATGGTCATACACAGTGAAGAGATGAGAATGCTTCCAAGTCCCAACCCACTTCTTTGATCCACTCTTCAGAGGAAATCTCACTCTTACTTGCTCCAGAGATCCCTCCCTGAGAACAAAGCCAGAGACCGCCAAGCCCCATAGAGTAGGCTCCCTAAAGAAGCCCCTGCTGTGATTCTCCTTTGGATGGGCCCATCGATGAAAGACTTATGTTCAAGAAAGTGGTTTCAGGAAACAGAAGAGAACAATGCTCCTCTAGTAATGATCAGGAAGAAGGAGTGCAGCACACCTCTCTCCTCATCACTCACCTACTGCTGCAATTTTCATCACCTTCTGGCTCTCTGTCCTTTCCAGGCTCCCCAGGACCCCCACATTGCAGCACTGCCCCTCCACCCACAAGCACGCACCTCGTCCTCTGCACGAAGCTTGCCCTGCTGGCTTCTTTATTGTTGTTGTCAATTGCTGTTGAGTCGATTCTGACTCATGGCAACCTCATGTGTTATAGATTAGAACTGTACTCCATAGGGTTTTCTTGGCTGTAATCTTTATGGAAACAGATTGCCATACTTAATCTTCTGCAGTACTGCTAGGTAGGTTTGAATCAACAACCTTTAGGTTAACAGTTGAGGGCAAATGGCCTCCTTATCACCCACATGGATTCTAACCTCTCCATACCCTCTAATCTCTCCCATGCCACCTTTCATCTTCAAAGATGTGGGCATGATGAAAAGACCTGCCAGTGGCTATTGCTCCTTTCAAGCCCCATGATGGAACCA